TTGGAGCCTATGTCAAATGACGTTTGTTTTGAAGTATTTGAGCAGCATGCATTCAGGAATGTTAACAGAGATATACCACCAAATTTCGAGTCACTCAAGGAGAAAATTGTTGCAAGATGCAGTGGATTGCCTTTGGCTGCTAGGACTCTTGGCGGCCTTTTACTTCGTAAAGAGATGAATGAATGGGAGGAAATATTGAACAACAAATTATGGAGTCTATCAAATGAGCGTGACATACTTCCGGTATTAAGATTAAGCTATCACCATCTTCCTTCACATTTGAAAAGATGCTTTGCCTATTGTTCGATACTTCCAAATGGCTATGAATTTGGAGAGCATCAATTGATTCTTCTGTGGATGGCAGAGGGTTTGATTCAACCACAACCAGAACATAATAAGCAAATGGAAGATTTAGGAACTGATTATTTTCAGGAGCTCTTATCGAGGTCATTATTTCAGAAATCAAGCAAAAACAATTCAAAATATGTAATGCATGACCTCGTTGTTGGTTTGGCACAGTGGGCAGCAGGAGATATTTGTTTTAGATTGGAGGATAAGCAGAATAGCGATCATGTACAACTTGGATGTTTTACGAAGGCCCGCCATGCGTCCTACATTTCTGATAAGTATGATGTGCTTAAAAGATTTCAGGCATTTTCTGAAGTGAAACATTTGCGAACCTTCCTACCACTTTCAGGTGATTATCCTTCGAATTATCTAAGTCGTAAGGTTACTTTTGATTTATTGCCAAAATTGCAATACTTGCGGGTGCTTTCTCTCAATGGCTATAAAGTAACTGAGCTGCCAAATTCAATTGGTAATTTGAAGTATCTCCGGTATCTTGATCTTTCTCACTCAGAGATAACAAGTTTGCCTGAATCAACAACCACTCTTTTCAACTTACAGACATTGATATTGGAAGGTTGTTCACATTTGAAGGCACTGCCTAGAAACATGAGGAATCTAGTGAATCTGCGTCATCTCAACAATTCAAATGCGTATTCACTGAAAGCAATGCCTCCGCAACTAGGTCGGTTGACAAATCTACAATCTTTGCCTAATTTTGTGGTGGGCAAAGGCAGTGATGAATCAGGGATAAGAGAGATAGGATCCCTATCCCATCTCCGAGGGAGATTATCGCTCTCAAGGTTGGAGAATGTGATCGATGCTGAGGATGCACGGAGGGCCGACTTAAAATCCAAGGAGATAGTAGATGAATTGGTGCTAGGTTGGTCGGATAACACACAAGACACGCAATTAGGCGTGCTTGACAGATTAGAACCTCATAGAATGCTTGAAAAACTCATCATCTGGGGTTATGCTGGATTAGAATTTTCAACATGGATTGGAGATCGTCTATTCTCTACTATGGTTGAGGTAAGCTTAAACAAGTGTGAGAAGTGCAAAATCTTGCCACCACTTGGACAGTTGCCTTCACTCAAAACGCTTTATATTAGAGGAATGACTGCAGTGGAAAGTGTTGGTCCTGAGTTTTATGGAGAGAGTAGATTGCCTTTTCCAGTACTAGAGGATCTTGAGTTTGAGGATATGCAACAGTGGAAGAAATGGCTTCCTTTCCCACAAGATCAGGTTTTCCCTTGCTTGAAATTGCTTTCAATCAGAAATTGTCCTCAATTGGAGGGTAAGGTGCCCGAGAACCTTGATTCATTAGCAACACTTAGAATTATTCATTGCGAGGAATTGGTGATTTCAATTTCCAACTATAAACAAATTGGTGCATTATACATCAACGGTTGCAATGCGGTGGTGGTGAAGACAAGTGGCGTTGAGTTTGAGTTATTAAATTTCTTGAAACTTTCAAATATTTCAGAGCTGAGGTTCCAAACCGGGGAATTCACCAAAGGATTAAGGAAGGTTGCACAATTGACGATTGGCGGATGTGAGGAGCTGACATCTTCACTGAAGAATGAGGATAGAGTATTGCAACACTTGATTTCTCTTGATCGTTTGGTTATTGAAGGCAACTCTTCCCTCCTTGAAAAGCTGGGAAAAGAAGCAGAGGAGTTGCTGCAATTGCAAATCTTGACTTGCAAGCTTAAATATCTAGAATTAAACAAGTGTGCAAGTCTTTCGAAGGTACCAGAAGGGTTGCATCACCTAACGGCTCTTCAAGACCTTCAAATAGTTGGATGCTCAAGTCTGGTTTCTTTTCCAGATGTTGGTCTGCCTCCTTCCCTTGAGGTCATAACCATTCATGAGTGTGATTCGTTGCTGTATTTCGCAAAATACCAGATTCCCCCAAATCTAAGAAGAATAGAGATACGGCAGTGTAAAAGTTTGAAATCATTAGTAGAGAAAGAGGAGGATAGTTCTTCGTCTTCGTCTTCTTCTCCTATTTCTCTTGAGCACTTGCAAATATGGGGATGTGAATCTCTAATGTCGTTATCATTGAGAGCCCAGTTGTTTCCCAGGGCACTTAAAAGCCTTCTCATATATGATTGTGGAGAGCTGCAGTTAATAACGGAGGGCCTATGCCCCCTCACCAATCTTCAGACTTTAGCTATTTGTAATTGTGGGAGTCTGGTTTCCGTCCCGAGCCTAAGTTTGCTTTCGCCAACAACAACAGCCGCCTCTAGCCTGAGACTTATCTGCATCCAAAATTGCAACAAATTGGAGATGTTACCGGACATGAGCAATCTCAACTGTCTTCAGGAATTGAGTATTGATTACGGTGAAGGTTTAAATTTCACTTCCTTTCCTCCCAACCTAACAGTGCTTCATATCAGGCGAATCAAGAATTGTAAGCTGCTGTGGGAGTCGTTGCACAGGCTCACCTCTCTTACAGAGTTGAGCGTCATTGGCGAAGACCCATATGTGGTGTCGTTTCCACCTGAAGGAGACACAGAGATGGATATGGAGATGCTGCTCCCCAAATCTCTCACTCATCTCTCAATTAAGGGTTTCCCGAATCTGAAGAAACTGAGTAGCAAGGGCTTTCAATTCCTCACCTCTCTTCAATCTCTTGAACTCTGGAATTGTCCAAAGCTGGCATCCATTCCAGTGGGCCCGACTCTTTCACTTTCCCGATTTTGTATCTATGGGTGTCCAAAGATATTTTGGGTCATATCTGAGTCGCAAAGATCTTGTGTCTTTGGACCACAGTGGTACAAAATATCCCACATTCCTTGCCTAGTGATATATCCAACTCTCCCCAGGTACTTCAAATTTCAAACACTATCAATGTTTAATGGGTACCGTGAAATAATAAAGTGGCTTATTATTTTTCAGATATTCTTGTTTTCTTCAATTTAGTTGGATTTTACAACAATGTATATTTCCCAGGTGGGTCTTTTTCATCTACAATTGCTTCAAGCGGGACTCCAACGATTTATCGAGCAAATGGTAAATCTATCTTTATTTCTCTTGATGATATATTTAAATCCAGGAAATGGGAAGGCTTAAAAGGCTCTTCCTTAATAGGCACTTGCAAACATGCTATCAAAATTTGAATGGAGAACATTTGAAATATATATAGTAAAAGAAAGTACTTCATTTCTCACTTTGTTTGCCTAGTAAGATTTTGTCATCTCTTTGCTGAGAAAAACTTTTAGCCATATTTTTCTTACTTTTGTTTGCTTGACTTCAATGTCTTTTCAAATTCTCTGTGATGTAGGCAGAGATCTGGGTCAATTATGGTGGAAAAATAATATTTTGATTAAAGTGGCTCAAAGCTGAAAGGAAATAGTGCAAGAGAAGAAAATTCCAATTCATTATCAATTATGATGTTAAAAGAGAAAGAAGGATGTATCATTGAGATTTTTGAGTTGCTTGATTAAGTTTGAAGCACAGAGGATTCTTTGCCAGATTTATATTACTTTATTGTTTGCAATTGGCGGTGTTGAATGATGCGGAGGAGAAGCAACTGACATGGTGTGAAATTGTGGCTAGATGATCTCAGAGACTTGGCTTACGATGTGGAAGACATGCTGGACAAGTTTGCTACTAAAATGTTGAATCTAAGAGTTCAATTATTTGTATACATTCTATTATAATTCATATATGTTAAGATTTAAACAAAAAGAAAATAAAGAAAGCAAATGGATTTCAAATGATTTCTAGTACCTGCTATCGGTGTGAGTTAATTGGCAAAGACCATGCTTGTTTTGATTGTGTAATGACCTTAAAATTGGGATTTTGTTGTTATTAGTATTCAGGAAAATTATACAAGGTTAATTAAATGTTTCGAAAATTTATGAAGTTGGTTTGATGTGGAAATGATTGGATTAGGTGCGTTTAATCTCAATTTGGACTAAAATGCCCCTACATTTAATTTAATGATTTTTCAAAGGACATTCAAGAGATTGAGGTGAGAAAATTATAATCTTTGGATTGGAATCAAGCTTGATCTCACGAACATATAGGCACAAACGGTTCGTGAATCGAAGCTATAATGAGGAGAAATTAAATTTTGAAGTTTTGAAATTTAATTGGAGGGCTAAATAGTGAATACTGAACAATTAACAGTCTATTTTCGGAATTCTATAAATTGGAGGATCACTATGCAAATAGCATAAAAGACCTTAATTTTCAGGAAATTCGTTCCCGCCGGAGAGGTGTTTAACACTGCCAACCAGATCACAAGAGAAGAACCACGTGAACATAACCAAACTAGAATCACGGTGATCAGAGCAGCGGTGAAGGCGTGGCGATGCCGTGAAGTTTGTTCGTACACAGTGAATCCCATAATTTTGGACGATGATTTGACCACTTTAGAGGTTGATTTAGGTAAACTTCTAAGTTTAAAAGTTGTTTATTTCATCTATTTTCTTCGGGTAGCCTAGTTTTGTTATGACGATTCGACCTTTTTACGATCGCCAGAATAGTACCTAAATCATCACACATGATGGCGGCGCGTGGCGGTGGTACTGAGTCTAAGTTCAAAAGATAGTATGTAGTCCTAGAGGTCCTGAGCGCGATGGTGTGCTCCGTTGTGCGAAACTTAGTCTTTTGACCGACGATTGGAGCCTCGCAAATCTGGACTGTTAGATCGTAGATGATCGGACCATGCTGCATCAACTGTTGGTTTGGACTACTGGAAGCAGAATTCATCTCCCAAGGAAGTTAAGGATGGCTCCATGATGATTAAATGGCATCCCCCTCCCAATGGCTGGATTAAAGTTATCTTTGATGGGTCTTATATGAACTCTCAAGCTATATAGACTACATAGTTCTATCAAATACTGTTTTGCAAAATGAAGAAACAGTGCCTCAAATGCACCAAGTTGATGTCAATGCACCAATTGAGATATATTAACCAACCAGAAATCCATATAGATGCACAGCCACAAAACCAAGATAATTTACAAGAAAAGCAGGAAGTGAGAAGATAAAAAAGAGCCAGAAGATCAGCCTTGTCAAGCGACCATGTTTATCTTCAAGAATCTGAGCAAAATGATCCATGCTTGGAAGATCATATCACCCTTAAACAAGCTTTGACAAGTTCAACAAATGAGCAATGGTTGCAGGCAATGAAATCTGAGTTAAATTCAATGGAGAAAAATAAAGTATGGGAATTGGTTCAACTGCCTCAAGGATGCCAACCTATAGGGTGCAAATGGATTTCCAAAACTAAAAGGGATTCCAAAGGTCTCATTGACAGATACAAAGCTAGGTTGGTTGCAAGAGGATTCACACAGCAAGCAGGAGTTGATTACAATGAGACATTTTCTCGAGTCTTTACAAAGGACTCGTTTAGAGTCATGATGGCTTTGGTAGCTCATTTCAATCTCTACCTCCATCAAATGGATGTTAAGACTGCGTTCTTGAATGGAGACCTCTATGAAAAGATCTGCATGCAGTAGCCTAAGGGTTTCATTTAAGAAGGGAGAGAAGATAAGGTTTGCAAATTAAGGAAATCCATTTATGGATTGAAACAAGCTTCTAGACAATGGTATTTGAAATTCAATGAAGTGGTGAGGTCTCATGGTTTCAGTGAAAGCCCTGTGGATGAATGTATATATATTAAAGTCAGTGGGAGAAATTTTATTTTTCTCATACTTTATGTGGATGACATCCTCTTGGCAAGCAAAAATTTGACTTTACTACATGATACCAAAGTTTTTCTGTCAAAAGTTTTTGATATGACAAACCTTGGAGAAGCCTCTTATGTACTTGGTATTGAAATCAGCCGTGACAAGGAGAGAGGATTGCTTAGATTATCCCAAAAAGGTTACATAGAGAAGGTGTTGAGAAGATTTAATAGGCTTTTTATCACAAAACGTCCCTGACGTTTGCGAAACTATCAGATTGCATCCTTAAAGTTTTTTTGTATCACTCATGGTCCCTAACATTAATATGGGTGCTATTAAATAGTCCCTCTGTCAAAAAAACTGTTAAATCCAGGGATATTATCGTCAAATCAATCCAAAATTATAAAATATATATAATTGGTTTTCTTAAATTGGTTTTCTGTTTGAAAGAGCCAAACTCCTCTGTGGCAAGAACTCATGCAATCAGAATCTCCACCGAGGCTAGGCAAAACAAAGACTGGGACTTCGAGATCAAGGGATATTTTCCTAATAAAGATTGTAGGATTGTTGACTCAAGAGGCAACACAATGGCACATGTAATAATTCCTATTCATGAAAGAATATATAAAAAGTTTCATTGTTTGTTTCTATTGAAATTCTGAATGTTTGGATTTGTTTATTGATCACAATGAAGCATAGATAGGGGTGAAGAAGGAGTTGATGGCAAGCAAGGATCTTTACCATGTTGTGGTGACACCAGACATGGATCACGCTTTTGTTATTGGGGTCATTACCATTCTTGATTACATATATGGTGAATCCACTAGGTGCTAGTAGTTCAGATATTCAAGAGAAGCTGTACTAACTAGGGAGGTATCTTCGCAATTTGACGATTTGAAGTTGAAAAAAGGACCTAAAACCCAAAAAACCCAGCTGTTGTTTGGCCCATAAATTTGAAGCTTTTTGTCACCAAAGTTTTTAGCGATGGATGTTCATCAGATTTTTCGTGGCTAAACATTTTCTGCGACGGTGTTCTTTAGATTTTTCGTCACTAAAAGTCAAATTTCCAGATCAACTTCAGACTTATATATATGCCTTGGGCTCTAGCCAATTGCAACGGATGTTCCAAATTTTTTTTTTTTGGTATTTCCCTGATCCTGTTTATATATATATATATTATAATTTTGGATTGATTTGACGATTATATCCCTGGATGTAACAGTTTTTTTTTTACAGATGGACTATTTAAGAACACCCATATTAACGTTAGGGACTATGAGTAATACAAAAAAACTTTAAGGATGCAATCTGATAGTTTCACAAATGTCAGGGACATTTTGTGATAAAAAGTCGATTTAATATGGAGAATTGTGCAAGAGGAGATGTGCCCTTCTCAAAAGGAGACAAACTGAGTACGGAACAATCACCTAAAACTGAACAAGAAAAATTAGAAATGGTTGACAAGCCTTATGCCTCACTTGTAGGAAGTTTGATGTATGCTCAAGTCTGTACTAGATCAAACTCAGCTTTTCCAGTAAGTATTTTGGGGAGATTTCAGTCCAATCCAGGCCAAGCACATTGGGTGGCTGCAAAGAAAGTTTTAAGATATTTATAGAGAACCAAAAGTTACAATTTGGTTTATAAGCAAGTTGAGAATCTGGAGTTAGTTGGTTATGCATATGCAGATTTGGGAGGATGTGTGGATTCTTTAAAGTCCGCTTCTGGTTATGTATTCATTTTTGGAGGAGGAGCTGCCTCGTGGAAGAGTATGAAGCAAACACACACTGCAACCTCAATTATGCAGTCTGAATACATTGCATGTTATGAAGCTGCAAGTCAAGCTATTTGGCTCAAGAACCTTATCACAAGTTTGAGGGTTGTTGACTCAATTGAAAGACCAGTTCATATTTGGAATGATAATAGTGACGTAGTGTTCTTCACCAAAAGCAACAAAAGATCATCAGGCACTAGACATTTGAAGTTTAAATATCTATCAGTTAGAGAAAATATCATAGATGGTCTTGTGAAGCTCGATCATATTGGTACACATTTCATGATTGCTGATCCGTTAACTAAGGGTCTGCCAAATGGTGTTTTTCATGGATATGTTAGAAGCATTGGATTGGTGTCCAGTTTTGATAAGGAGGACTAGTGGGAGTCTATTTCAGAATCTAGTCTTCATTTTGGTAGCTGTTTCCCTCTTTTCGGCCGGGTAGGCCGATTGAAGGAGTTTTTGGTCCTTCTTCTTTTGAGTGCGGGGCGTGCCACCACCAAGCCCTGAATTTGAGTTTGAATGGAATGTGAGTAGATGGATATGTTGCGTCCGAGATCTAACTTTAATCAAACGATTGTTCGGCCGAGCAAAGAACCTCCTCACGGCCTAGGTTCTTTCACTACCTCGGGGTCAAGGCTTTATGTGAGCAACCAAATAATGTGGAGTGGGTGGAGATGAAGATTGAAAGTGAAAAATAATGAAACGAAGAACACGTGCGTAAAGTAAAAGGTGCTTGAATTTAAATATAATTGAAAGACAAGTGCAGAAAGTAAAGTGCGTAAAATAAATAATTTAAAGACGAGTGCGTAAAATAAAGAATGTAAAGACAAGTGCGTAATGTAAATTGCATAAATTAATTAATTGAAATGCGATAACAATGAAAAGCAAAGAAATTGAAATAAACTTGAATTTAAAGTACAAGAAAATATAAATTGAACGAGAATTTAAACTTATACTAAGAAAAGGAAAAACTCGCTACACTAGGTGCTTGAAAAGTAAAATCCTAAGTCTAGGAAAAGAAAAGTGTGAGACGAAAGATAAGTTTGTTGGTCTGATGTTGTGTATGATGTCTTCATGGAGCAAGGTTTATATAGGGCACTCGTCAGCCCATGGGCTGGCCATTGAATGGCCAAAGGTCAACCCTTCTAAAAAAATCTTTCCTTTCGAAGCCCCCCCAATATCCGTAGGATTGCATTGATATTCTGACATGCTTGATTCTTCCTTACTTTGGAACATTCGGAGTTACTATCAAATCTCTTGATTTCTTTCCTTGTGAGGCCTTCGTCAAGTGCACATAATCTTCCAAAAATCTAGGCGTGAATAGATGGCTTAAACTTGGGCCTCCGACTTCTCTTATATTGCCATCCATATAATATAAGATTTCATATTATTCAATATATATACACAAATATATATATATATATATTAATATAAGCATAAGTTGGGCAAATCCTCCTAGCCTGCGTGCATGCCATTCACTCAACTATATATATATATACTTGCATATAGATGTAGTTTCTAAAGCAGCCCATTTAAAACAGCCCCAAAACAGCTTGCCCATATAAACAGTTTGCACAGGACTCTCAATTTCGGCCGCATGTGTGATATCTACTCTCCCTATTATCTATATATATATATATATATATATAATACACACAAACGTTTTTAACCATATTCATTTATATATATATATATATATATATATATATAAAAGCAAAGAGGTTTCAACCTAAATGAACTTCAGCCGCATTTTTACAAGAAAGATTCTTGTCCAAAGAAATCCTGCAGCAACCAACATTCAAAGATATGCCCGAGATTTTCCTATAGTTTCGGCCGGACCTGGCCAGCTTCTCAACCACATCTTGTGAGGCCCAACTGCATCTAATTCTCGGGCAGCAAGGCTCCAACAATTTCGGCCGCTCTCCAGCACCATTTCGAAAAGACCCGACCATAAACCCTTCCGCCAAGTTCGAGCTATCCAAAACCCGGCCGAGATTAATCTCCAACAATCCCGGGCATATAAGCTCTGCAATTCCAGCCGCCAACTCCAGCTACCTTCGAATTGCCCAGCTACATCTCGCAAGGCCCAATTTTTTCCCGGCCGTGCCCAGCCGTTTTGCAAGCCTAGCTCCGCCAACGAATCCCGACCGCACCTTCAGCTCCAGCCTAGATGTGGCGGATTTTTTAACAGCCCCAAACAGTAGCTTAAATTTTTCTTATTTAAAAACTTGATTGAGTTTCAGTTAAATTGCAGTTTTCTTATTATTTGATTATGTGGTTAATTTTGTTTAAACAAATGATTTCAGTTGGTATCAAGTGTAGACAAGTTAGCTTCAATAACTACACTAGATACTTACTCACGAAAGAGTTATTTTGGAAAGGGAGATCTTGTAATCTCTAAAAGAAGTGGACTACAGATGGTAATGACATATAAAGCATTTTTTTTAAAGAAAAGTCATGTTCATCCTGTGTTCAAATCTTGACGGAAGCTTTATGTGGCTATGCAGATAGGTGTATGTGATTCTAAAGGTCTTGGATGTTTTATATTCAAGGCAACTGATGATCTGATGCTTGTTTTCATAGTTGACCAAGAGCTTGTTTAGGAATACAGTTTAATTGATTTCCATGGCCATAAAAATAATATATATTTATAAATAAATAAAAAGGTAATGGCTATACTAATTTTTTTCCTAATTGTTTTTAAAATAATAGTATAGCCATGTTTTTTCTAATTTTTTTAAAAACATAGTATAGCAGCACGATTAATAACTCTAGAAAAGTAAAATATCAAAAAGGGACAATAGACACTCGAGTAATGAACTAATAGTAATGAATAGGGCTCTTGGGCTATGGCGAAATTTAATTAAGACACTCGAACGATTTCACAAAAGACTTAATAAATAGAAAATAATTATTTTGTGGACTTTTTCTTTAAATTTTTTATATTAAATAATAATTAAAAAATAATTAGTAATTAAAGTAATTCAAAAAGGCTAAGATGTTACTTAATTACATATATTAAATTAAAGAAGTAGGACAAAAAACAAAAGTAAAGAAACTAATTTTATATTTTTAAATTTAAAATATTAAAAATATAAAACTTGTCCAAACGAAAGTTCGTCAGCACAGGTCTATGCCGGTGATATTTCTTGATTAAATGTTGTTTTTAAACAGTATAGCCGCACGACTATACTATTTGTAAATAAAAAAAAAGAAAGCGGCGAGCGCATGGGTGCCACATGTGAAGATAGTAATGCCGGTCGGCTATACTATTCTTGAAAAAAAAAAATTCAAAAAAAGGTGGAGTCGCACGGCTATAATATTACATAACAAAATGAAAAAAACTAGTATAGCCGGGCAACTAAACTATATAGACCTGCCCAGCGCCCATCCGCCACTTGTCAAAAGAGTAAAGCATGCAGCTATACTATGTTTTTAAAAAATTTAGGAAAAACGAGTATAACCGCGCGGCTACACTAAAAACAATTAGAAAAATACAAATTTATAAAAAAACCCAATCCTAGACATGTATTTATAAAAAAACCCAAGCACTATTTAAACATAGAAACACACCCAAAATTAACCCCAAAGTCAACTTTTTGGGTGTGTTTATAAATGGGTTTTGAGTGTGTATAATGATGGGTTTTGGGTGTGTTTATATGTTTAAATAGTGCTTGGGTTTTTTTATAATTTCAACCCCCATTTTGGGTGTTTTAGTGAAACTTCCTTAGAAAAAATTGAGTATAGCCGTGCGACTATACTCGTTTTTTCCTAAACTTTTTTAAAACATAGTATAGCCGCACACTTTACTCTTTTGACACGTGGCGCATGGTCGCCAGGCGGGTCTATATATAGTATAGCAGCTCGGCTATACTAGTTTTTTTATTTTGTTAAGTAACAATATAGCTGGGCGGCTATACCTTTTTCCTAATTATTATTATTTTTAAAATAGTATAGCCGCTCGGAGTTACTGTTTTGACACGTGGCACCTATGGGCTAGGCGCGTCCTTTTTTGTATTTATCAATAGTACAGCCGGGCGGCTATATTGTTTAAAAACAACATTTAATTATGAAATTTCGCAACTTTGGTCGGGACAGGTTTTTTATATTTTATATTTTTAATATATATATAATAGTTTTTATTATTTTTTGGTTGAGTTTACATTTGACTGTTGAACATTAAAAAGCCGTTGAATAATTCTCTCAAGTTCCAAAAAAAATCAAGCACTGGCCCTAAAATAAGCTCTAGGAAAACTGGAGGGAAACCTTTGGAGGGAATTTGGAATTTAATGCATTTCACTTTATTTGAGTCTTGGTTAATTCTTTATCTAATTTGATTAGAGATATGTCGAGGAATGGAAAGCCAAAGATCGCAAAATTTTGGCGCCTTCTTTTTTATTGATTTCCCTCCTCCGCATTCAAAGAAGGCTAATTATATAAAATACTTAGGCCCCGTTTGGGATTGCTTTTTTTGGCCAAAAACCTGCTTAACTTTAAAGTTAAGCAGTTTAAGGTGTTTGGTAAAATTAAAATATCTCGATTATTTTAAAAGCAGTGGCCTTTTGACAGCAGCTTTTAAAAGCTGACTCTGGGTTGCTTTTCAAAGCTGCTTTCAAAAAAAGCAGAGATGAACATTTAATGAATTTTTTTAATTCTCAAAATATCATCATTTATTTTAAAAAAATGACATCACCTCCACTTTTACATCCAACTCCACCACTTGCACCACCACATTTACTACCTCCACAACCACCGCCACCACCACCACCACAC